CATATATTTATCGCCCCATTGTGTTTTGAAGCAAAATGGTACAGGATTAAGAAAGTAAAGGAAAATAAGGGTAAATAGGGGCAAGAACGAAAAATGAAATCAACGTCTCCAGAAAGACTTGTTTTCAATCACGACGCCATTATTTGATGTAGATTACATATATTTATTGCCCCATCATGTTTTGAGGCAAAATGGTACACCTTTAAGAAAGTCAAGTAAAATAAGGGTAAATAGAGGCAAGGACGAAAAATATAATCAATGTCTCAGGAAAGACTTGTTTTCGAACACGGCACCATTATTTGATATGGATAACATATATTTATCGCCTCGTGTTTTGAAACAAAATGGTATACGTTTAAGAAAGTCGAGGAAAATAATGGTAAATATGGGCAAAAACAAAAAATGTAATCAACGTCTCCGGAAAGACATGTTTTCAAACACGGCACCATTTTTCGATGTGGATAACATATATTTACCGCCCCGTCGTGTTATGAAGCAAAATGGTACACATTTAAGAATGTCAAAGAAAATAAGGGTAAACAGGGGCAACAACGAAAAATGTATTCAACGTCTCAGGAAAGACTTGTTTTCGAACACGACACCATTATTTGATGTGGATAACATATATTTATCCCCCCATCGCGTTATGAAGCAAAATGGTACACGTTTAAGAAAGTCGAGGAAAATAAGGGGAAATAGGGGCAAGAACAAAAAATGTAATCAACGCCTCCGGAAAGACTTGTTTTCGAACACGGCACCATTATCTGATATGGATAACATATATTTATCACCTCGTGTTTTGAAGCAAAATGGTACACGTTTAAGAAAGTCGAGGAAAATAAGGGTAAATATGGACAAAAACAAAAAGTGTAATCAACGTCTCCGGAAAGACATGTTTTCGAAACGACACCATTTTTCGATGTGGATAACATATATTTATCGCCCCATCGTGTTTTGAAGCAAAATGGTACACGTTTAAATATGTCAGGAAAAATAAAGATAAATAGGGGCAAGAACGAAAATGTATTCAACATCTCAAAAAAGACTTGTTTTCGAACACGACACCATTATTTGATGTGGATAACATATATTTATCGCTCCATCGTGTTTTGAATCAAAATGTACACGTTTAAGAAAGTCAAGGAAAAAAAGGGTAAATAGGGGCAAGAACGAAAAATGTAATCAACGTCTCCAGAAAGACTTGTTTTCGAACACGACACCATTATTTGATGTGGATAACATATATTTATCGTCCCATCGTATTTTGAAGCAAAATGGTACACGATTAAGAAAGTCGAGGAAAATAAGGGTAAATAGGGGCAAGAATGAAAAATGTAATCAACGTCTCCGGAGAGACTTGTTTTCGAACACGACACCATTATTTGATGTGGATAACATATATTTATCGTCCCATCGTGTTTTGAAGCAAAATGGTACACGATTAAGAAAGTCGAGGAAAATAAGGGTAAATAGGGGCAAGAACGAAAAATGTAAACAACGTCTCTGGAAAGACTTGTATTCGAACAAGGCACCATTATTTGATAACATCTTTTTATCGCACCATCGTGTTTTGAAGAAAAATGGCACACGTTTAAGAAAGTCAAGGAAAATAAGGGTAAATAGGGATAAAACAAAAAATGTAATCAACGTCTCCAGACAGACTAGTTTTCGAACAAGACATCATTATTTGATGTGGATAACATATATTTATCGCCCCCTCGTGTTTTGAAGCAAAATGGTACACGTTTAAGAAAGTTGAGGGAAATAAGGGTAAATAAGGGCGAGAATGAAAAATGTAATCAACGTCTCTGGAAAGACTTGTATTCGAAAAAGGCACCATTATTTGATGTGGATAACATATTTTTATTGCACCATCGTGTTTTGAAGCAAAATCGTATACATTTAAAAAAGTCAGGGAAAATAAGGGTTAATTAGAGGCAAGAACGAAAAAAAAAACCAACGTCTCCAGAAAGACTTGTTTTCAAACAAGGCAACATTATTTGATGTGGATAATATTTTTATCGCACCATCGTGTTTTGAAGCAAATCAAATAC